ATGATAGGTAGGTAGAAAGGAGGATGAAGTGAGGGCTTCTTTTTTCTTAGAGATGGAGAAACGTGGGTGTGTTTGTGGGCATCGGAGAAATAAGTGGGGATAGCCACTACTCTACCATTCCTAAAACATGCTGCCTGCACCCCAGCTATCCTCATCCCCCTCCCTCTGAAATCTGTATTCTGCTTCTAGTACTCTGACCTCCGATGTATGTGTTTTGCTCATATCTTCCTGGAAAGAGGCCTGCACAACACTTCCTGGACTTTTCCAAACCAAGGAACTGGAGCTATAAATGAATTCTTTCAATCCAACTTTTACACCTTGTCTTCCCCCATTAGAATGGGAGCTCCATTAGGACAGGGGCTATCTTCATTTCTGGTATTTATATATCTAGTGTGTATCATAGTATCATATCATATAAGTGGACAGTACATGCTTCTTTTTGAAAAATGAACTTCTTTTTTCAATTAACAAATGACCCTCTATCACTACCCATCTGAGGAAAATCAGAGTCCTTTCTCCATTACAACCCTGAGGCTCACTCCTACCTGACCAACAGTGGCAGACTAGAAAGCTCATGACCCCCCCCCCCTCCCCAGCACATACCTTGCAAGTTGGGAACAGCTGCTCACAGTGCCTGGACAAGCAGAAAATCCCACCCCACTACAATCCTTCAGATAAGGTGTGTGACCACAGAGTTTGGCCAGCTGGCATTCAATTATGTTCCCCACCACACTGGACCTTACTCTCTGGCCTGTCATTATGCTCAGCCCCCCAATACAGCCATCTGATCTATCATCCCAACCTGAGGACCCCTGGGCCTTACCATCTACCCTATACCTGAACACTCCTAAATGTGTTTTCTCCCCCAGTTAGAATGGAAGCTACGTAAGAATAGAGTCATTCTCTTTGTATCTCTGGTGCCTGGTACAAAGGAAGCACTGAAGACATGCTTTGTCCATCATTCATCCATTTTTCACAAATAAATGACAAAAGACATGAATACTCATTGTTGGAGGGGCTGGGGAAAGAAAGGCACACTAATACACCTTTAGTTTTCAACTTACAACCTGTTTAATGCCAGTTACATCAGTTTACATGAACATCTTGCCCTGTTATCTCAATATATACCCTCCTCCCTCAGATGCAACATATGGCACAAGCCTCTGGGGACTGGCCTGTATGAACTTCAGGAAGGAAATTCCCCAGACTTTCCAAAACTATCTTCAAACTACACAATGTAGCAATGTCACAGTCACATGTGGAAAATACAAAAATTAAGGTTTTTTAAAAAATTTTCTCATTCACAAGTTGAATTCAGCAGACACTAGTGAGCCAATTGCCATGTGCCTCCCAAGGCAAGAACTGGTTTTTCTCATGAAAGAAAAAAAATGTTAAATACATTATGCATACTTCATATATATATACACACACACACATATATGTACATATATATGTATACACGTAGACTTATACATACAGATACACATGTATTTTTCCCCCAGCAAAGGCTTTCTGGTCGGCACCCCTGGGCATTCAGATACATTCCCCCACCATCACAGGCTGGGAACAGTCCTCCCAGGGTTCAGAGGCCCATCCCAAGGCTGGTCAGGACTAGAAAAGTGGCCTATGGTAAGGGGCTGGTAAGAGACACATTCCACCAGGAGGATGCTCTCCTTTCTGCCTCCTCCAGGCTGTGGGAGGCAATTCTCTTTTTGAGAACCAACACAAATCGTTTTTGGAAGTAATACTTTTTCAAAAAATAATGTGCACACTCCTTAATCACGTCGCCTGAAAACCTTTGTGTTCCTCTGGAGACGCGGCTGGTAGGCCCCCTTCATGTCCTCCTCCTGCTTTGCTGAGGCAGATTATTTGTTTGTTTGAAACCAGGGGTGGATTTTCCATAATTTAAACCAACAAACTTGCCCCAGCAAATACATACAGAAACACACGGGAGGGCCCAAGGAAAGGCACAGGGCTAAGGAAATAATTTCAGACAAAATCTAAGGCATTCTCACCTGTACCTCAAATATTCTCTACTTAGCCCAGAGCAGACTAGGCTACAAGGGGAGATGTGAGAGGACAAGGCCCAGTAACCTCAACCCTTGGGGGCTAGTTCAAAAGCTCAAGAGCTGAGGAAACTCTTTGCCTGGTGGCAAAATGTATGCTTTTTCTCCCCCCTCAGGGCTGGCTCCTGCCTTCTAGCTGGCTGCTCTAGGCCCTAAGGAACACATGCTAACTAGAGCTGGGGATGTTCAAACATCATTCACAGCCCACCCCCTCCCCCTTAAGGGGAACCCTCTCCCCTTGATCATCACACAGGAACTGCTAGGCCTGACCACTCTGAAAACAAACAAACAAAAATGCCTTTTTTCCCCCCAGAGGCTCTGGTCGATTCAAAAGAAATTTGTTTTTTTCTAAAAAGCTGCTGGCCAGATTCCTGAGAGTGATACCATCTTTCTTTTACCACCCAGAAGGACATTTTGAAATAACTTCTTGGCTTTGGTAGAAAATCCAACCCAACACTTCCTCATCCCTTAATAAAAATATAAACAAACAATGCTCCTGCCCACCTTTCCTCTCGTGACCTCCACCCCTCCACCGGCTGTTCTGAACCAAGGGGCAGCAGCTCCAGCCCTCTCTGGAGCCAGGGTAGAGCAAGCATTCCTTGGCCAGTCAGGCTAGAACCGCCCCTCCTCCCCATAAGGATCAGAGATGCCTAGAGGTAAGCCTGGAAGGGGGCTCCATTCTCAATGTTTCCTTACAGATGCATTTTACTCCAGCTGTGATGAAATCCTCTGGCTGCCAAAACCCTAGCCAGTTTAGGTGCCGAGTGTCATCCATCTGAGGGGTCACAGTTCCTGATCCCCTCCTGGTTCACACATGGGAAAAGGTTGGCCCCAGCGGGCCTCAGCTTCCAGGGGAGTCCACCTGAATGGAGGAGCTCAGGCAGCCCCGAGTCTAAGGTCACCTGCAGCCTACACCCCCCCCCCAACCCCATACCCTCCCCCAACTTTCACAGCCATTCCCTCCTCAGACAATAAGAATCACAAAAAAGAAGCTAGCTGTCTGTCTCTTCCCAGAGACGATCAAGCAGAAGAGGGAAGCTTCTTCTCAGGTTTCTCTGGTTCTGGCCACAGCAAGTTGGGCCCAGTGTGTGAAATGGAGACCCCTGCCCCAGTTTGGTTCTCTTTCTTCTGCTTGCCCTCTGTGAAGAACGGACTCATAAATTCTGCATGGTGCCACCCCCCACCCCCAGCTCGTGCTCTCCCCAAATATCATTCAACAACGTCCACAGTCCGGTAAAGAACAATGACTTTGAAAGGAGGTTTCTCCAGGTCCACCACCCTTTTTCCCCTTTTGCCAGCTGGTCGTTGGGGTTCCTTCCATGCATGTTGCTCAGAGTCAGTGGGGTTTCCTGGAATGGCATAGGGTGGTCCTGGAGCGCGGGCTTGAGCAGTTACCGGATGTGACCGAAGAGGTCGAGGACAGATGCAGGTGGCCTTGATGGACGGGTGTCGCAGAAATATTCCAAAGTCTCACAGTCTCATCTGCTGCGCCTGTAGCTATGACCTGTCCATCAGGAGACAAGGTGAGATACAAAACTCGGTAGGTGTGCCCCGCGCGTTTGGCTACTTGTGTCAGGGAGGGGTATTTCCAGATGGCCATGTGGTTTTCTGAGTAGCCATGGGTGCTGATCAGCTCATTGCTGTGTTTGGACCAGGCCAGGTTGCACACCTGAGAACCCGTATGGATCCTCTGCAGGGTCTGCTCCGTCAGCGTATTCCAGAAATGGATGCTGCAGTCGGCCGTCCCGCCACCAGATGCCAACAGGCCGTGCTGGTGGGGAGACCACGCGATGGCCTTCACGGCCGCCCTGTGGTTGGTGTACCGCTGGACAGGCTTCAGACTGGCGTGGTCCCAGAGCAGAACGGTATTGTCGTTTCCACTTGAGGCCAGCAGCCGGCCACTGGTGGACCACTTGAGCCCACACCTCATGGCTGTGGCCTTGAAGCCGGCGCTCAGACTGCGTGGACGGGGCGCGGAAGTCTCTCTGGATGATCATCTTGTCTCGGCTCCCAGAAGAAATCTGGTCCGCATTCCAGGCCAGCACACCGACTCGGGATCTGTGCCCGTACAGCACAGACACTCTCTTCTCTGTGGCCACATCCCAGATCTGCACATGACCTCTGTGCGTGCCGACTGCTAGCAAATTCCCTGGCTGGACCAGCACACGGAGGTCACAGAATCTCCCTCCCCAGCCAGGTCACACAGCCTGGTCACCTGGCACGTAGCAGCACTCCACAGGAAGGCACACACGCCCAGGCCCACAGAGATGACATTGAGGGAAGACCAGTCTAGTAGGTTCAGGCAGGAGTTATTCCGGAAGCCCGGGGCCTGGAGGATTTTGAAAGGCTTCGAGGGGATTTTTCTTAGGGGTTGCTGCGGTGACCTGAGTAAGGTCTGGCTTTGGTTGCTGATGGAGGACAAGCTATATGGAGAGGCTTCACTCCCCACATCAGGTCTGCAGCATGTAGGGCTAGGGAATACACAAAGAGGTTCTTCTTCTCTGTGGGGCAAGACTGGAGCAGGCTTTGCCCTGTTCTCTTCAGATCCTGGACTCTCTCGATGCCAGCTCCTAGCAGCTCGTTCCTCAATAAGGCAGAGTAGGTTAGGGCACCTTTGCTGTTGTCCGAGTGGCCCATCTGGATTTCCGCTTCTGCCTCAGTGGTTTCTCAGGGTCTTCTGCTCTATGGAAATTCAGGCTCCAGTTGGCTCCAGATCTGGAGGGGATGAAGCGGTCTCCAGGCTGGCTGGGAGAGGGCGCTGGAGAACTGTATGATGTTTGAATCCAGCTCATCTCGGCTCCCCAGAAGACAGACAGTCGGCTCTCCTGGGATCTCCTGGGGCCTCAGCCTGGGCTGGAACAGGCCAGGACACAGCCTTTAGTAAAGTCAGGTCAGGCACAGGACTAGCCCCCGATGCTGGCCGGGCTAGTGAGAGCAGCCTGCAGAGGGCCAGGCAGACAGCCACTTGGACGGACAGATGGATAGACGGACACTCACACAGAGCCACTTTGGATGTCAGTCAGTGGTGGAGATGCCTTCCTGGGACAGCAGTGGGGGTGGGCGTGGGGGTGGGAGATACAGGATTGGGTGGCCCAGGAGCTTAGGGCCTGGTTCCACAGGGGGTCGGGGGCAGGCAAGTGCCAAGGAAAAGTCTGAGAGGAGATGCCTTTCTTGATCTTGGTAGGTGGAGAAGATGGTCAATGAGACCCAGGGAATTCTGGAATCTTGGGCCCTGGGGAGAATGACCAAGGTCAGTAATGGCAGGCAACACCTTTTGCCATCTAGGTAGGGGAGGAGGCAGGCTGAAGTGGCTTGGGACTGAGGGCCTTGAGAGCAGGGACTCTTTGCCTCCTTTGGTAACCCTGACTGCTTAGCACGGTGCCTGGCACATAGGACATTCTTAGTAAATGTTTGTGGATTGACAGACTGATTGGCTGATTGATGGCCAAAGTCAGTCTGGGAGGAGAATCTGCTATGCACTTCCATCAGGGACAAAGGGGTGTTGGGGGCTGACTTGGATTCTGGCCTAGATCACCGAGGGTTGAAAAACAAGAGCCATCTCAGGGAAACAACTTACCAGATCTCGGTCTGAGGAGAATGGTCAAGGTCCACCTTGAAGAAGAAGACACCTTTGGGATCTTGGTCCGGGGCCAAAGACTGCAAGGATGGCAGATGAGAACCCACAGGCGACTGTCCTTCTCACTTCAGACTGGGGTCTGGGAAAGAGATAGATGTCTCTTGGTTTCTCAGGAGGGGAGAAGGTTGGGCTCAAGTGGGTGAGGGCCGATGGCCAAGGTCATTCTGGGAGGAGAGGTCTTTCTGAATCTCATCAAGGATAATGCCAGGGCAGTACAGCCTTAGACTCAGAGCATAGACCCAAGAGGGCCAAGGACCAAGGTCAGTTTGGGAAGAGATGCCTCTCAGGATCTCAGTCAGGAGACAATGAGGGCAGGTGCCGGTTCAGACTCAGGGCCTGCACCTGGAGGGCAGATGGCCTCCATTGGTTTGGGAGGAGCCACCTTAAGGGATAATGGCCAAGGCCAACCTGGGAAGAGAGGTGTTCCTAATCTCTAGGGCATGCAGAGCGGCCTGAGGCTCAGGCCCCTGATCCATGAGGATCTGTAAAGCCTGAGCTCATTCTGAGAAGAGACAGCATTCATTGGGACCTAGGTCTGGGGGTGGATGGCCAAGGTCACTCTGAGAGGCAGGGCTGCCTCAGCCCCGGGGGGACTGGGGTGGGGCCAAAGTCTGGGTGGAAGCTCCTTACTCGATGTCAGTCTGGGCAGAAAAAGGCCAAGGTCAGTCTGGGAGGAGAAGTATCAGGGGATCCTCGCAGGCCAGGGCAGAAGACTGGAAAGATGGATAAAGACAGGCACTCAAAATCAAAGCCATCTATAGTCATATGAAAAAATGCTCTAAATCACTATTGATTGGAGAAATGCAAATCAAAACAACTCTGAGGTACCACATCACACCTATCAGATTGGCCAACACGACAAAACAGGAAAATGGTAAATGGTGGAGAAGATGTGGGGAGATTGGAACACTAATGCATTGTCGGTGGAGTTGTGAAATGATCCAACCATTCTGGAGAGCAATTTGGAACTGTGCCCAAAGGGCTATAAAAATGTGCATACCCTTTGCCCCAGCAATAGCACTTCTAAGAGGGCTATATCCCAAAGAGATCATACAGATGGGAAAACGACCCACATATACAAAAATATTTAAAGCAGCTCTTTTTGTGGTGGCAAAGAATTGGTCATCCCCATCAGCTGGGGAATGGCTGAACAAGCTGTGGTATATAAATGTAGTGGAATACCATTGTGCTATAAGAAATGATGAGCAGGCGGATTTCAGAAAATCCTGGAAAGACTGATGGTGAGTGAAGTGAGGAGAACCAGGAGAACATTGTACTGCTATGACTAGTATTGTTAACTTAACCCTTCTCAGCAATACAAGGATCTAAGACATCTCCAAAGGCCTCGTGATGGAAAATGCTATCCACAAAGAAGAAAGAACTATAGAGTCTGAATGCAGATCAAAGCGCGCTATTTGCTATTTTTTTTCTTCTGTTGTGTTTTGTTTCCTCTATCTGGTGGTTCCTCCATTGGATCTAACTCTTACTTACAACATCACTAATGTGAAAATACGTTTGATAGGAATATATATATATATATATATATATATATATATATATATATATATATATGTATAGCCTGTATCAGATTGCGTACCGTCTTGGGGAGGGAGGTGGGAAGGGAGGGGGAGAAAAATTTAAAATTCAAAAGCTTACAGAAGTGATTGTTGATAATTTAAAATAAATTTTAAAAAATCTAAAATAAATAAAGACAGACACTCACATGCCACCTGGGTTCTCCCAGCAGACGTGGGTCTGTGGAGGGGCTCACTTTCTGTTGTTAGCAGCAAAGCCACTTTAGCTTTGGGGCCTGGATGTGGGAGGAGGTGCCTTACCTGATCTCCGTGGGGCCAGAATTGCCAAGGTCCATCCGGCAGGATCTCAGTCAAGGGTAGAAGAACCACAAGATGAGCAGACAGCTAGTTGCGGGGCACTGATGCTCTTACTGCAGATGTGGCTCTGTAGAGGAGACAGATTTTCATCAATATCCGAGAGAACTTTGCTTTGGGGCCTGGACTGAGGAGGGCCAAGGACCGAGGTGGGAGAGGAAATACCTCTGGACCTGGGGAGGATGGCCAAGGGCTCCTCCTCCATCCCACCTCAGCCACACACAAAGATGGTCATGACCTGGATCCTGCCGTCACCCACAAGTGCACCTCCACATACAAGAATGCTGAAATCCCCTTATCTGACTGGAAAATAGACTTGGAAAGCCACGTCTATCGGTTTTCCACCTCTCCCTCTTGCCTTCCCTTAGCAGAGTCTGTTCTTTGTCCGAACCTCCAGTGACATCCAATCCCTCTCAGGTCTCTGCCAGGACATCTCCCTTGCACTAGCCACGCTCTCCTCTTCTCATCTTTACCCCTTGGTGAACCAGTTCAACTGTTCCTCCATGGAATGGCTGGCCCTCTTATCACATACACTGATGATGCCCTTGCCAAGTCTCAGCCTTGGATCACTCCCACCATCCTCTGCCTTCACTCCTCCCCACACGGGTTGCAGAAGGAAGGTGGGGAGCAATCACACACCCGTTCTCTGACTGGGTCCCCTACCAATTTATGTCACACCACCTCCCCTGCTTCCTCACTGCCTCTAAGCAATCCCACTCTACCTCCCTTAGCAATTCCGCTCCCTGTCTCCTCCACCTTGGCTCTTCCAAACCTTCTCATCCCTCCTCTAACTCCCTGTGCCTTGTGCCCTGTGCCCTGTGCTTACCCACTCCCCCAACCCCACCCCTGCTGTCTCAGCTGAGACCTTGGACTCCTATTTGCCAGATAGAATTGAGGCCATTTGCCGTGAACGCCCTCACCTCCCACTCTTCCTTATCTTTGGAGTGTCACTCAGATGCCTTCCACCACTCTCTCCTCCATCACCTCTGCCTCATGTGGAAAGGTCTGCCCTTACCCCTTACCAAGGCTAACACTGCTACTTGTTAAGTGATCCCCTTCCATCCTGGCTCCTCCAACAGACCGCCCCTCTGGCATCCCCACTCTCTCACTCACCTTCCATCTCTCCCTCTCCACTAGCTCTTTCCCTACTGCCCACACACATGTTCATGTCTCCCCCATCCTGAAAAGGCACCTCCCTTGAGCCTTCTGTCCCCCCAACTGTGGCGCGCTCTATCTCTTCTGCGCTTTGTGGCCAATCTCCTAGAGAAGGCTGTCTAGGAGAGAGGACTCCACCTCCTCCCTTCTCACTCACTTCCTAACCCCTCACAGTCTGTCTTCTTACCTCATCACTCAACAGAAACTTCTCTCTCCAGAGTTACACATGATTTCTTAATACCCAATCCAAGAAACATTTATTTAACAGCTACAATGTGCCACGCGCTGTGCTAAGTACTTGAGATACAATTAATAAACAGAAAGACAGTCCCTGACCTCAAGGGGCTTACAATCTAGAGGCAGAAAGAACACACCAAATGGACTTGGGAGGGGGCGGGCAGGGGGAACAGGAAGCGACAGCATCTTATTCTGGGGAGTTGAAACCAGGCAGAGTGACAGGCACAAAGAGTGATCTGAGAGTCCACTTTCTAACCTCTGTAAGGGAAGACATCGGGGGGAGTTTGATATCCAACTCACAGCAGTGCCTGATTTCCAGTCCAATGGCCTTTTCTCTCTGGTCATTCTCCTCAATCTTGCTGCAGCCTTTAATACCGCCTGTCACCCCCTTCCCTTTGAGACTCTCTTCTCTGCAGGGTTTTGGGGCACCACTCCCTCCTGGTTCTCCTCCTACCTATCAGCCCACTCCTTCCCAGTCTCTTTTGCTGGATCCTCCTCCAGGCCACATCCACTAAGTATGAGTGTCCCAGAGGGTTCTATCCTTGGCCCCTTTCTCTTCTCCAAACACTCACTTGCTGATCTCATCTGCACTCAGGGCTTTAATTATCAGCCCTATGCTGATCATCCTCTAATCTGCCTGTCCTATCCTAACCCCTTGGCCAACTTCCAATCTCCCACCTCCAACTGCCTTTCAGATATCTGGAACCTGATATCCAATAGCCATCTCAAACTCAACATGCCCCAAACGGAACCGGTTGCCCTACGCCCTCCCTCGCTCCCTCTGACCTCCCCTATTACTGTTGAGGGTAACACTATCCTCCCAGTCCTTCTGGCTCCCCACCTAGGTGTCCTACTCCACCGCTCACTATCTCTCGCCTCCTCTCCCCAATGTACAGTCTCTTGCCAAGGTCCGTCCATTTCACCTTGGCACCATCTGTGCAATGGGCCCCCTTCTCTCCTCTGACATTGGTGCCACTTTGGTGCAGGCCTTCATCACCTGGGGGAAGAGGTCTACCTGCCCCAAAGTGGTCTGACCCTGTCACCACTTCCCTACCTTACTCAATAAACCCCAATTGCTCCTTATGGCCTCCTGGATCCATGACAAAAAACTTTTTTGGCATTCAAAGCCTCCTAATAGAGGCTCCCTAACCCCCAGACCCCTTCCAGTCTTCATAAGCTTCCTTCCCCACCTTGTTCTCTTCTATCCAGTGACACTGGCCTCCTTCCTGTTCCACCCACAGGACCTCCATCGTCTCAGCTCCAGACAGTTCCTCGGCTGTCCCCCTTGCCTGGAATGCTCTCCCTCCTCCCCTCTGCCCACCGACTTCCCCTAAGTCCCAGCTCCAAGCCAACCTTCTGCAGGAAGCCTTTCCCAACACCTCTGAATCCCAGTGCTTCCCTCTTGCCATTATTCCTATTTGTCCTGTCCACAGCTTGTCGGTAGATATTTCTTTACTCGATATTGTTGTCTTTCCCGGTGGACTGTGAGCTCCTTGAGGGCAGGGACTGTATTTTGCCTCTTTCTGTATGTGGGGGCTTCAAAAATGTTTGTTGACCAGCCCGGTGACTAACTGCCTTCCTTAATGAATCTCTGTCTGATGAGAAGGACTGAGGCCAAAATGACGTGAGATACTTTTGGGCTCCGGTTTAGGGCAAAAGACTGGAAAGCTAGACAGAGAATCAGGGCCTCTCAGGCCGCTGTAGGCACAGATCTGTGGAGGACACAGCTTCCTATTGTGACCCAGGTGGCTTTAGATTTGGGACTGGATCCAGCAAGGCCAAAGATGTCAGTCTGAGAAGATAATCTCAGTCTGGGTAAGATGGCCAAGGTCAGTGTCTGGAATCCAGACTGTGGACAGAGGCCCCTAGCACATCTCCTTCCATGGCAGAATGGCCAAAGTCAGTGTCTGGATAGACTGGACTCCAAGGGCTCTCGGTCCAGAGGAGAACAGCCAGGGTCAGCATGCGAGAGAAGGGGCCTTGGGGGAATCTGGATATTTGGAGAATGGCCAAAGTCACTGTGGGAAGAGGTGGGCTCAGGGAAGAATGCCCAAGGTCAGTGTTGGGAAAGAAGCACACCTCAGCAAATCCCAATGGGGGGAAATGCCCAAGGTCAGTGTTGAGGAAGGGGCCCCCACCAGGGGATCCAGGCCTAGGGACAATGGCAAAGGCCACTGCTAGGTAAGGGAGTGGACAAGAGGATGCAGGAGGGGTCCGGGCGTGGGGAGAATGTCAAGGTCGATGTCTGGGAAGAGCCCCCCCCCACCCCAGGATGAGGGCCTGGGGCCGAAGGCCAAGGTCAAGGCTGGCCAAAAGGAGGTCTGGGACAATAATGGTCAAGGTCAGCATGAGAGAACAGGCGCCCCGCCCCACCACGAGGGCGGGGAGCCAGTGGCCAAGGTCAGGGCCCGCAAGAGGCTCCTGGGGGGCTGCCTGGGCATACATGGGTCCCTGGTGCTCTTGCTGAGGGAAGAGGGGGGAGGAGCCAGCAGGGGCTGGGAAAGGAGGCCCGAGGCCCACAGGCAGGTCCTGCAGGCAGGCCCAAAGGGTCCAGGAGGGATGGCTCCCCAGGCAGGCCCCCCAGGCAGGCCCACAGGGTCCAGGAGGGATGCCTCCCCCCCACAGGCCCCCCAGGCGGGCCTCATTGGGTCCAGGAGGGATGGCCCTGGTCTTCCTCTCTCCTCCAGCTCTGGCTGCTCTCTGGGTCTCTCTGACCTCTAACCCTAAATGACCTGGGCAGGGAGGGGAAAGGCAGGGCCAAGCACCCTGAGGCAGGGGGCAAGCCCACCTACCAGGCTCTGGCTCCGCCCCCATCTGCTCCCTGCCTCCACATGCTGCAGGGCACCCCCTGGAGTGCGGGAGTAGCCTGTCAGGTCACTCTGCTGCTGGGCAGAGAGAGCGCACGCAGTAGGAGGACTGGAAGGCACTGAGAGAAGGGAGGGCAGCTGCTTCGTGCAGGGGATGGGGGCCCGGCCTGGAATCACGAAGACTTATCTTCCTGAGTTCAAATCTGACAGTGGGACCCTGGGCAAGTCACCGCACCCTGTTGGCCCTCACTTTCCTGGTCTGTAAAATGAACTGGAGAAGGAAATGGCAAACCACTCCTGCATCTCTGTCAAGAAAGTTAAAAGCGACTGAAACGACTCAATAACAAAGGGGGACAGGAGGGGTGCAGGAGAGGGAGAAGGAGTGGACACTAGGAAGAGAGGAGAACAGGGGGAGGACAGGGGAGGGGAGGGGAGAATACTGTGCAGTTCTCAGGACCAAGCTTGGCCTGAGAGAAGATGGCAAAAATGCCCCTCCCCACCTACTTGGCAGAAGGGAAGAGCCGGGGTGGGGGGGGGCGCACACATGTTCAGGAGTTGGTGGGGTTGGCTCAACATTTGCAGTTGCTTTTGGTAATTCTTCCCCTCTCTCCTTTTTGCTCTTTGTGACAGGCAGTGATCCTCTGGGCAGCTAAGGGAAGGGGCCCCGGCAGGGACGAGGGACACAGTCATGCAGGAAGGGGATGAGAGAGAGCACCTCTCTAGGGCTCTAGGAAGAGATGCAAAACCAAGCAGAACAGAAGTCATTTCAGACCCTTTGTCTGTAAGGGGCTGCCTGGCAAATGCATGTTTGCTTGTGAGTGTTGCAGGCCAGGGTTCTTTTGTGTGGACCATGGCAGGGAATGAGCCAAAGAGGGAGAGGAAAAGGGTCTGCGCCCTCTTTCTTCTGATCCCGGGCTGAGGACGTGCAGGGTCCAGAGCAGAGGGACTCAGAAGGCGCAGATGCATCAGTGCAGGGCTAGAGGCCCTTGGGCCCAATGTGGGGCATCAACGCCCCACCAGGGCTCCTTGTCTCCTCCAATCCACCTCCCGAACAAAGGACTCCAGCATGTGTTCACTTCCCTGCCATGGGGATGTTGGGCTAACACTTACACACGCAAACACTTTCTGGCAAGTGTCAGAATGTCCCAGAGACTGATTTTGCTGGACAGCCTCCAGTCGTGGTTCTGCATGGCACCTCTTGGGCCGTGGCTGGCATCTGTCTGCCATCCCATCAGGGCCCTGGAGAGGCCAAGAATGACAGGTTGGTCTCTCCAAAGAAGCCAGCAGCATCTGCTGTCCCAGCTCTGTCTCACCCCCATCCCCACCCCCACTATGGATTCTTAGAGTAGAACCCAGGCAAGACAGGAAGGCTGCTACCCAGTGACCAGGGCACTCTTAGAAGGCTGCTGCAAAGGGCCACTCTCCCCACCCCCCGCTTTTCTCTCAGCCTTAATGCTTTCTGTGGAGCTGCGAATAGCACATGTACACCCCCTTGCTACCTCACGCTGGC